GTCGTGGTAAGTTATCAAATTATGAAAAGAACATTGCAGAGATTAAAATGTTGCATAAGAGAGAGAAAGCAGCATGAGTCAGGGGTTTGGGAAATATGAGTCAGAATGACGGGAAGCAGCCAAAAACATAGAGAATGAGGGCCTAAGCAGGGACTTAATGGACACCACAGAGATGTGGACACAGTCACCTCCATTAACTTTTGAGAGGAAACCAAATATGTGGTTCCATAGACTGCGGGTCAGCGTGATAAAGAGGCTAGGAGTGAGAGCTGAGCAAAGATCAGACTGCATTATTTGAAGCAATGATGGTGCCAAAGTCAGCAAGAAAGGGACCTACAACAGTATAAATCACTAGGAGGGAGAGTGTGGGCACATTTTTGAAAAATGAGGGAATCACCAAATACTGCCCTTAGCTATTCTTAATGCATTAGAATGATGAAATGTGAGTTGATTTACGTGTTGTGATATTTTAGGAAGCACACTCTATTATTTTGTTCTTTGGCTATGTTTACATTAGGCTGTGTCTGCATAGTTCAGAGCTGCTCCCCGTGGTGTCCAATTCAAATTCCAATCCCACCTTTAAGGCCCTGCTTATGACTTGAGCTACCACTTTATGAGCACCTTCAAGCAGGCACTGCAGCAGGCTCCTCACACACAGCCCCTCCAGCCATGCTGACTCCAGCTGTCCTGCAGACCACATTGGTTTTATTGGATGTTTTCTAATGCAGCCTGCCTCCTGCCTAGAAATAGCCTCCTCACCTTCTTCAAAATGCAGCTCAAAACTCCCCTGGCCTGGCACACCTTCCACAGCCACCCACCTCTGCTGCTGCCTTATGCCTCCTAGTTTCTGCACCTCTCAACACCATTGCTTTCCTACAGTTTCCATGTGCTGACATCTTGCTGATTTTACTGTTTCTCACATATTTCCTGTTACTCTTTCTTGTAAATGATTAGTTCCATAAGACAAAACACTGATCCTACTTCCCTCAAACTCTAGGCATCAGTTCCCAGCACACGGTTATCATTCACTCATCCATTTATCGAACAAACATTTATTGAAAACCCACTGTTTCATGCACTCTGCTAGGCATTAGGAATACAGAAAAAAAGTGAGATGTAGACCCCATCCTCAATGTGCTTGGGGCCAGGGCCCAGGGAAGGTGTTAACTGATTGCTTAAGAACCTAGTGAGCTTCACTGTCGAGGATAAATTATAGTTTAAAAGCAAAACAAAAACTCCTCTCCCTGGAGTACTTTTTCCTAGATTACCAGGGATATCATGACTGACCTGAGTTGTTTCCTTATGAATAAGGCAGTGCTTTTGCCACTCAGGATATTCCTACCACAGAAGCCTTTTCTAAACGAAAAGCCTGGGAAAACGAGGTCTTCTGGTACACCAGCACAGGAATGTATATTCTGCTTCGAGTCTCTGACATAGATGTATGTTTTCGTGACTCATCACATTAACTCTCTGATATTTAAGACAAATAGAAATGCATACAAGTAGAAAGGAAGAGTGCAGAGGTGCCTGGCTGGCTCAGTTGGTGGGACAAGCGACTCCTGATCTCTGGGTTGTGGGTTTGAGCCCTATCTTGGGTGTAGAGATTACTTAAAAATAAAATCCTGTAAGAATAAACTGTAAAAGACTTTAACAAGACATAACAATTCTTATATGACTTTCTCATATGGCATATGCTCTATGAATAAATAATAACAGGGTCTCAAAGGGCAACTTTTAAAATAATAAAATTGTGTCACTTAAGTAATGGTATGAATTGACAGTATAATCGAAGATAATACAAAGAAATCCTATTTGTCTATGTGTTATTAGATAAACTGCTAAGAGCAAAGGAGAGGACAAATATTCTCAACTTGATTTAGAGAAGCTCTCAATGAAAATGTAGTCAGTTCATTTCCTAGAAGATCCAGCTCCAGGTATATGACAAAGCACATGCTCAACTTCTTTGGAATAATTTCTTGAAGGGAATTTCATGAAGTTGTATTTCATTGAATTTCAGGAAGTTTCCCATCCAAAAATTAAAGTGAGTCCAAGTATGTACAAAGTGTGTTAAAAATATCATCCATCGGTGTTAGGTGCAGTGAGTGCTATTGCGGTTTTGTTGGTTGTTGTTGTTGTTGTTGTTGATAGAGAAAGGAAAAGAATATAGTGACAGTGAAGGCAGTGATTTTTTTTAAATTATTAAGTTATTTTAACTCACTGAATATTTTTATTCAATAATCCTTTTCAGAAGGTAAATGAACCTGGTTCTTAAGAAGGAGTAGGTCCAGGTAGCACAATTTTTATGTTTAAAATCTATTTAATTGATATATTAAGTCCACTGGAAATATTGGCTTATTTATCAAAGAGCCTTAGAACTGAATAAGAAAGTAGGAAGGAAACTGTAGGATATAGGGAATGCAATGGGGTGGAGGCAGTTTGCAGAGAGGTCTCAGAAAGAAAAGCCACAGTCACTGGTGAGGCCTCCCTTAGAAAATGCAGCAGACAGCCCCAGTCCTTGATCTTTTGCCAGCATGCACTGAGGAACTTGCCACATCTGAATCTCACATTTCGGTATCTCTCAGGGCTGTTATCACTGCAAATGCTGGCAGATGCTCTTGACATAAAACAATAGGAATTCTGCTGTCATTTCTGCATTAGCGAGTCATAAAGCTCTGAAAGAAACCCCAGTAGAAATGTTTTCATCAAGTGCATATGAGAATATAATAAAAGACAGAAAAAAGACCAGATAATTTCAAAAAAAGATCGTAGCCCCTCTGTGTGGTACCTTACAAAGGACAGAGTTAGAATCACTGATTTGAAAATGATGATGATGATGACGGTGGATTACAAAACAAAAATAAAAAACAGTAACAAAAAAAAGTTCTCCAAAACTTTAAAACCAGGTTCAAAGAATCATGTTAAGTAGATGCTTTTATAGGGTATTATCCAATAAATGGCCATACATCCCTAAAGTAGTTTTCACCTCCCCTCTCTCTTTCTTTTGGGAAAAATGTCTGTTATCGTTCAAATCCAGTATCAGAGGATAACTCTTAACCACAGGAATCTCCCACATTCTTACACTGGTAGTGTGAGTACAGCAGTTCTCCCTGAAAATAGAGCGAAAAGCAGCAGAAGCCACTCTCTGAGCTTCTTTAAAGGAAGGCAGGAATTGAGAAATACCTTCTAATTACTGATGGCTCATCTTTTGTATTGAATTTTAGCCCACTGTTTGTTCCAAAGCACCACCCTGGGTTTACCACATTGATGATCTAAGGTTCCCTAAGCCTGTCTTAGTTTTTATGCAAAATTTGTCATCTAGGAATTCCAAGTTTGATGATATTTTTTTAACAAAGCTTAGACCCTTCAGTTGTTGAAGAATGCCAAAATCACATAATCCTTTCATCTTCTTAACTCACCTACATAACTTTGTAATGTGAGAGAGTTATTGAATGCGAAGGTAATGTTGAAAAGGCAAAATTAAATTTCACTTATAAATCACCGTAATATAAATGCACATGCATAAATTCATATCACCTTTGATTCCAAAGAAACTCATTATAACAGATTCATTATATTGTGACGAGCATTTTTTACTTTTCTAAAACTATAATCTACTACTCCTTTGGGCACATTTAGTAAATTAAAGAATCGCTTTGGGAAAATATCTTTTTTAAACTATGAAATGCTTTGGGAAAATATGTATTTTAAACTACACCAATCTATCTCTCCTAGAGAAATATGATCAAGTTGAATCCTTTGCATTTTGAAATTTGCAATGAAAGGGGTTTTTTTTTTTAAGATTTATTTATTTGAGGGAGAGAAAGAGCATGTGCATGAGCATGCTGTGGAGGGAGCGGCAGAGGGAGAGGGCAAGAGAATCTCAAGCGGACTCCACACGAAGTGTGGAAGCCTGACACAAGGCTCGGATTCCATGACCCTGAGATGATGACCTGAACTGAAATCAAGAGTCAGATGCTCAACCAACTGAGCCACCCAGGCACCCCTGCAATTAAAGTTTAATTAAAAGGCAACAGGAAATACATAGTATTAAAGTTTGATTTATACCTGGTTACTGGACAGTTCTTTATAGACTTGTCAATGTAAATGATCTCAAATGCAACATATTGTGTAGAAAAAGCAAGTATTATACAATTTATTTAGCTTTAAAGCACGCAACACAACACTGTATATTCTAATGGATGCATATCTATATAATTAAAGTATAAAAACCTTTCAGGGAAGGATTCACACCTACCAGGACAGTGGTAGGTGAGCAGATAAAAAGATAAGAATACAGTAAAGCTTTAGTTATGTCTCGAATGTTTTATTTCTGAAAATAAAGTGAGCCAAGGCAAACATGGCTAATGTTAGCCTGTGTTAAATCTGAGTCGTACACACTGGCATCTATGAAATTATTTTCCAAATGTTTGAAATCATTTATCATTTTAAACATTTCTAATATAATATTACAGAGTATTGCCTTAATAAAGTGAAAACTTTATTTCTTTTTAAAAAGTATGATGGGGCATCTCTGTGGCTCAGTCAGTTAAGTGTCTGCCTTCAGCTCAGGTCACGATCTCAGGGTCCTGGAATGGAGCCCTGCATCAGGCTCCTGCTCAGTGGGGAGCCTGCTTCTCCCTATGCTACTCCTCCTGCTTACTCTCTCTCTCTCTCTCTCTCTCTCTCTCTCTCTCTCTCTCGTGCTCTCTCTCTCTCTCTCTCTGTTAAATAAATAAAATCTTTTTTAAAAAAAGTATGATGGCAATTCAATATAAGGAATATAGTTAATAATACTGCAATAGTACCATTGTATGGTAACAGATGGTAGCTAGACTTGCTGTGAATATAACATAACGTATAGTGTTGTCTAACCACTATGTTGTGCACCTAAAACTTATGTCATTTATGCGTCAGCTACACTTCTTCGGGTTTTTTTTAAATGGAGGAAATAGTAACATCTGCACAACCAACTCAAACTTTGTGCTGGCTGTCTTTACCAGACATAGACGAGTGCACTGCAGGGACCCACAACTGTAGAGCCGACCAAGTGTGCATCAATTTACGAGGCTCCTTTGCCTGTCAGTGCCCCCAGGGGTACCAGAAGCGGGGAGACCAGTGCGTAGGTAAGTACAGCAGAGCAGTAAGCAAAATTCTATCCTAAACCTCTTGTTTAAACCCATCATTCAAAGCAAAGCATTCATATTTATTTGGAGAATGATAACTCCAACTGCTTGTTCTGTCATTGACTACTGGACCATTTTCCACATTAATAAGAAAGAGCTAACTTAAAGGGTGAGCACGTTCTGGATTTCAAAATGTTGGTTCCATGTTAGACTAAGCTGAAGCAGAAATTTGGAGTATGAATGAGACCACAAAAGCAACCGAGGAAATAATTTTAAATTAGCTGTTTGGTGGCCACAGCACCAAAACATTGACGATGTGACCTTCATTCACTGGTTCATAAAATAGCATAGCTTATAGGGCACATGAATGAAGTTCAAATCCCAACTCTGCTCCTAACTCATTTTGAGGCTTTAGACAAATGACTTACATACTCAGGAGCTCATGCGTGGGAGTGCTCAGAGCTGAGGCAAGTATTGCACGGAATAGCTGTGTGTATTATTGTGTGATGAGTTAACAGAAGTGTACTAAACATTCGGTGTGTTGCAACTGGGTGCAGTGCTGGAAAGGCAAAACCAAGTATAGCGTGTGCCTCTACTTGAGAGCTCTCACTTGAGGTACCTGAGGACAGGAGCCAGGTCTGATTTGTGTCACTGCTGTCTCCCCGGAACCTGAAAAAGTGCCTGCCAAGTAGATGCTCCATGCATTTTTTTTTTCAATTGGCAGGAAGAACACAGTATGAAGAGGCTGACTGGCGAATAAGTAAACAGTAAAAAGTAAATGTGTTCCAGGTTCTGTCATGAGGTCCAGCACTAGGAGTAAAACGTCCTAATTGAATCCCTGTGTCAGTTGTATTCATGTGATATTCATGGTGATTTACATACTACCGTTTAACATACATCAGTGAAGAGTCCTTATTTTCTCTTTAGAACAGAGGGATAAGAACATGGGGATAGGAAGCTAGAATTAATTTTCGCCTGAAAATGTTAGCTCTTGACATCAAGATGTCAACACTGAGCTCCTTGAGGGCCTGGTTCTGCCCGCCATGGGGCTGTGCCCAGGTGCTGGGGTGAGTGCCCAGCCTCTGTGGAAGGCCCAGGGTTTGTGTGACTAAAACTGTGATTTGGAAGATTGTGTGGAAAACTGGACAGGCACCAAAGTTTTGCCCAATGGATTAGTCAGGAAAATAAACAATTGAGGGTATAAAAGGTAAAGAGAAAGAACTAACTCAACTTACTATGGGAACAATTAAAGGGAATAAAATGTGTAATTATAGCCCTATAGGATCTGGTAGCAGGAAACATTCTTAAATCCAGATCTAATCATGGGGCTTCTCTGCTGTTCCCCTCACCCACATTTGCCAGCAGAGCATATAAGGTCTTCCTCCATCAGATCCTTGTCCAGTTCTGTTGTACCAACACCATTCTTCCTGCAAAAATATTACACTGCAGCCTTGTCTACTAAAGTTCCGCACAAACATCATGCAGTGTCACACCTTATTGCCTCTACCTAAGCTCTTTTAGCATCAAAAACATGTTTGCCCTGGCAAACACCTATTCAATTTCCAAATCCCAGTTCAGGGTCACTTCCTCTGGGAAGTCTTCCATGATTTAACCAGATATGATAAGTTCCTCCCTCCTCTGCATCACTACTTCTCAAACCTTGATGAGTGTTTTTTTTTTTAAATTTCCAGTCTATTGTAGATCAATACTACTAAAAGTAAAATAAAAAATGTTGTAGCAACACCAAATTGCTATTCCTAAACACATATTCTCAACTTCTATACTTATTTGTAGCAGGCTGTTCCAAATAATCCATGAACCAACAGTGGTCAGCAGGCCACTTGAGTAGAATGGTGCTCTGTCTGTCCCTTGTACAGCTTTCTACATTGATCTTACCATTCCTTGCAATAATATGTTTCCATGCCATTCTTCATGCTAGACAGAGTATAAAGAATGTATTTATCATCATTATAAGACTATAGTGCCAAACACAATGCTTGCAAATAACAGTGATTCAGTGGGTATTCACTGATTGAGAAGACGTGCATGATTTATTTATCAAGTATTTACTGATACTGTTCTAAGTGCTGGTACACCATGATGGTGTACCAGATACTGTTCTAAGTGCTGGGCCTTCATGGTGAGCAAACATATTTTACAGAATCATGTCCCTCATGGAGCTATTAGGAGGGACTATTTTTACAAATTAGCTGTCAATAGGGGCCCCTGGCTATAATACTGGGTACAGGATGAGCTATGCTAAAATTGTTCTTAATCAATATGAAGTCTGCACACACATTCAACTAATGTTTATCGAGCACCTACTATGCCAGACCCTGTTCCAGGCATTAAGCACATAGCAGTGAACTGACAAAAATACTCTACTTTCATCTGAAGAGAAGACAGGTCTTATTTGCCATGCATTATAGTGAGGGAGACAGACAAGAAGCAAATAACACATAACACAATATCAAGGAGTGTCAATGGCCACAAAAAATAGAAAGCAAGAAAAGGTGACAGATGGGACAGAAGAAGCCATTTTATATGGATGAACAGAGATGGCCTCCCTGAGGTGACATTTGAGCAGACACTTCAAATAAATGAGGTGGAAAGCCATGTCAATGCCATTACCTTTGATTTCAGTATTCAAGTGAAATCAAATATATTTTGCAGCCTATTAATAACAGGTGCCATTTATTTTTACCTGTTTTTTTGCAAAGAAATTTGCCTATAATTTCATGGTATCCTCCCAACAAGTCTACCACATTGTTGTATTATCACTTACAGAAGAGAAAATTGAAGCTCTGAGAAGACCATGCTAGTAATTGCCAGAACAAAGATTCATCTCAGGTTATCCTGAGGCCACTTGAGCCTACCACTTCCCACAGTTTTAGACAGAAGAACTCAACATAAAGTATTGTTTTGTTTTTGTTTTTTACCATAAGGAAGTGTCAGTCTTATATTGTACAGTCTTATATTGTACAGTGCACAGTCTTATATTGTACATGAATAATTGTTACTTTTTAATTACACACGTCATGTTAGCATTGTCGCAAAGTGTAGAGTTAATGAAATTTTACTATGCTTCTAAGATGTTAATCCTACTCCGCAAGTTCTCAACTGACCATTTTATAGTTGGAAATATTTATCTGAGAAGAACACAGCCTGGAACACTTCATCAGAGTGTCAGAGGGCAGTCTCAAGAGGTAATTTGTTTAGCATCCTATTCCTTTCACAGTGTTCTTTCATTTGATTCTCATGGAAACTTCATAAGATACACATAGCAAGCATTACTGTCCAAATTTTACAAAAGAAACAATCAAGATACCAAGCGTTTATGTGACTTGGGCAACGTCAGCAGCTGAGCAGTAGACCACACCTCCTTTCTCTTAGTTTTATGCTACATCAATCAGTTCTTCCATAGTGCTTTTTTACTTCTGTCATTACAAATAACCTTTTGGATCCCAGAACCGACATATATATTTTCATATCTATGTGAAATAGTCTTAATTACTTTTCTGTCTTTAAATCTCAACCCACTCAACCAGCTTTATGAAGTCTTTGTTTTTAACATCTCACTCAACTGCAGAATGCAAACCAAAGCTTATTTTTAAAAGAATATTTACCCTAATTTAAAAAGAGAGAGACAGAATGCCTTTTAAAATGAGATTTTTCTCTGGCTAGGTTTTCTAGATAATGTTCTGCTGAGAACTAAAGAGCTACCAGCTCTGAATAGCCAATAACTTGGTTTTCTTTGTGTGTGTGCCTGACAACCCAGACATAGACGAATGCACCATTCCTCCATATTGCCACCAAAGATGCGTGAACACACCAGGATCATTTTATTGCCAGTGCAGTCCTGGGTTTCAGCTGGCTGCAAACAACTATACCTGTGTAGGTAAGCTCTGGGCGGACTGCCATCCTAACTGATTTCTGTCTTCACAAAAAACGTCAGGGCGCATTGCAGTATTTCCAGTTTTCTGTGCTCTTGAGTGGACTGGTCTCCTTTATCTTCCCTGCATAAAGCTATAAAGACAATAACCAATCTGTCTCTTAAAACACATCAAGATGTGAATGGAAAACTTTATTAACCGTGGTGTTATTCCTCCTCTGTGAGTCTATCAAAAATATAAAAAAAACTACAGATCAATGGATACACACACACCAATTAATCAACAGTATGTGATATAAATGCTGAAGGTGCCAGTAGATTACTGTAAGTTCAAGTACATAAACTTTCCACTGAGAGTGCATCTGATTTTTACATGCTTCTTCTCCCCTTTCAGAATGCAGTGTCACGGCCCACAGTTTTAAGATTGGCATGACATGGAAAGAATCTAGTGCGGGAAAAATGCCTTTTCACAATATTTTCAGTGCCTTAGAGCATTGCAAAACTCTGTATGGGTCTCAACGGCTTATGTTATAATTGTAATGGAATTTAACAGAACCCATTTAAAAAGTAATAAATAGCACAGATAAATCTTCACCACAGCATGCTGAGAGACTGTATCAGTATGAATGTCTTATATCAATTATTTATAGACTTGGCACTTTGCATCTGAACAACAATAAAAGAAAATAGATACTGGAATGTATATTTATTAGAATCATTAAATTCTTTTGGAAAGATTCATCAAACACAAAACTAACTGTCATTCCCAGAAAGAAATATTCTGGTATTTCTAAAAGAAGTGCATGACAGATGTTTGAAGTCACTCCAATAAATATGAAACCTGAATGGATGTTCTCCAGTGAGCTTCTGCAGGGCAAAGAATCCAACCCAGGAATTATTCACTTATCATTAAATGGCATAGGTACAAAGGAGCAAGGATATGTTTAAAGACATAGATATATAAATGTATATAATATTTCCTTTCAGATATAAATGAATGTGATGCTAGCAATCAATGTGCTCAGCAATGCTACAACATTCTCGGTTCATTTATCTGTCAGTGCAATCAAGGATATGAGCTGAGCAGTGACAGGCTCAACTGTGAAGGTAAAATATTTTCCAAATAATTTGTAACAACAGTTCAATCTGTATAATTGCTGTTGCTTTATCCAATTACGTACCTGTTTATGAAAACAATCTTTTTCTCCATGCAAATTCTATTTTAAAATACAGTTAATTAAGTTCAATTATAGTATTTTCTTTTTAGTATGTTATCAAGAGAAAGGAGAAGGAACAAAATAACTGAAATAGTAGATGTAGGCTGGGTATAATAATTAGAAGGGGTGTTCTAGTATCTTGCTTCTCAAAGTGATGTGATGGCCAGCAGCGTTGACACATCCTTGTCTCTACTTGTGAGAAATACAGATCTCAGGCCCCATACCAGACCTACTGAGTCAGATGCTGCATTTAACAAGAATCCCAGGTGACTGGTATGCACATTTAAATTTGGAAAGAGCTAATCACATGTCAGAAACGTTAGAATATAAACCAAGAGACCTGTCCTCTAGTCTCATTCCCGCCACTGTGTGACTTGAACACATTTCTTTAAGTTGCCTGCATTTCACTTTCCACATGAGTAAAAAGAGGGCCACTTAATTGGAAGGATGACCTTCAGAGTCCATTGCCTGTGCATGTTCCACTGTGCAATTCAAAAGGCATACGACATCCTGAGGGGAATGCCATTGACACTTGATGTCTCTGACTTCTTTCCAGTTTTACTTAAAGCCACAAAGGTCATACCCCACCCAGAGAGGCCTCATATCATGCCACTGTGCTCAAAACCAAAAGGGGCTGGTTCTGGACAGCTGCCTCTGTCCTTCTGAGCAAACTATAAGGACATCACCATTGAGAAATGCAAAGCATTCTTTCCCTGAACTCCCAATTCATTCAGTCTGCTCAGTCAGTATGGTTAAGTCCAAGATTCGCCAGACTCTCAGCAATCATTGAGTAAAACTGATAGTCAGAAAAACTGTGTGGTGGAGTTCTGGAGGAAATGAGCTGATATTGTAGAATTTTCCCTCCAGGTTCTTACGAAGTTTTATATTTCTGTTTTATTTTGTTTAAGATTTTTTATTTATTTATTTGAGATGGGGAGAGAGAGAGTGAGAGCACACGTAAGGGGGAGGGGCAGATGAAGAGGGAGAAGCATACTCCTCACTGAGTAGGGAGCCTGGACTTGAGGCTCAGATCCCAGAACCCTGAGATCATGACCTGAGCCAATGGCAGATGCTTAACCAACTGAGCCACCAAGCACCCTATATTTCTGGTTTAGAGTTTGCAGTATTTTTACACTTTTACCTTATCTTCAGAAATATTGTCAAAGTAGTGACCTGTAAGTTTTTCAACTCTGTGTACCTACTCTTGTCTGATTGAACAGACATTGATGAATGCAGAACCTCAAGCTACCTGTGTCAGTATCAGTGTGTCAATGAACCTGGGAAGTTCTCGTGTATGTGCCCCCAGGGATACCAAGTGGTGAGAAGTAGAACATGTCAGGGTAAGTTTATTGTTTTCATATCTGTTAAGTGTTTATATAATTTGAGCTCCTTTTTCCCTTGTTCATCATGTAGTATGCTCATCTCATAAAAAAAGGTATTATTCAGTTAGCACTGACTTTTTTTAGATTGAAAGTAATTTTTGCTCTTAAGATGTAAATAATTTTAATAAAATATTGATATCTCTTCTATATAGCCTACTTAATCTCTATGATATACATCTTCTAATCACCTGCCCCAAAGATTCAATTATTAAAATATTTCACCATGAGTTTGAGTCTAGGGAATAAACTTAACATGTGGGGTAGGCAAACCTCAAATCAGTCTCATATCCTCTAAAATACCAAGATTATATACCTAAATGTGCTGAGAAAAATCAGCCTCAAGTATATTAAAATGTGCTTGAATTCTTAAGCAGAAAAAAAAACAAAAATAGCTAATATCCTAGGGTCCAGTTTTAAAATAAACATTCAGGTGATATTCATACTTACACATCTCCAATGCTACATGTAGTTTCAAATTTCTTTAACAGAGAAGTCTGTTCAGATAAAGCCAAAAGTATACATAATCCTAGAAAAGCTAGTATAGATACTTGTCTTTGCATAAAACAGTAAGTGGGAAAAAATGACTGAACTTGAAGACAGAAAATTTGTTTGAGGCTCTATAGTCTTAAATAATATCAAACATCTCTAAACTTTAGCTTTCTCATTTGGAAAAGGGAGTTGTGAGCATGAAATTGATAACATACATAAAAATTACTTGTAAACAATAAAGCCTTACTATCCAAGATGTTTTCATAAAATTTACTTAGCAATGTAAGTGACTAGTAGCAAATCTGCTCTAAAGAGTCCTCTTTAATCAGAACTAAGAAAGGACATACAAGGGCAGTAAAATCCTTTGAGAAAGGAAAAAGATCAGGGCAAGGATACAGTAGGGCTTCTCAGTCTATATCATGATTTTATAGAATATTAACTCAGAGGAACACCCAGGACCTGGGATTTTTACGGTATGCATATGATAATTCAACTAGATTCCAACCACTAAGTATGAACACAATCAGAATGCCATTCACTGCACAATGAACACCTTTATACCCCTTTCCAGGAAAGTTACTAGAGACTCTAATATTAATTGTGGAAAAACATTGCATTCCAATGATTTTACTTTCTGAAGCCTGAGACTTTTAACATGAATATTACATGGAGGAAAATGTTAGCCAGTGGGATATCTTAACTAATTTCCCTGGAGTCCTTCAAATAAATGTGTCTGTGTTTTTTATCATAAATGTATTTGGTGCTCAGCAAAAGACAGAGGCAAATTAACATACAGGGAGAGTTTACCTACCTACTCTATTTGTATGGAAACATATCTGTTACAATTTAAGGTGAAAAAAAATACTAGAATTGCAAATAAGTGATTCAAGAGTGTTATATCTTGAAGATATGCAGCTCCAGAATGTTTGGTTAAGCCAAAACATTTTTTAAGAGAGAGGCTTAACATTCTTTTAAAGTACAAAGCAATTAGTTTTCTCCACTAAAACTCTCTCTTCCCAACCTTGTCCATATAGACTAAAGTAAAACTGAAAGAGTTTGGAGTCTTACCTTTAATCAAAGGCTTATTTTCAGGATGAAATAACTGTTCTCATTTCTACAACCTTGCAAAAATGAAAACTCTCTGTGTTTCAGTGGGGTGGGGGAGGCTAGAGAGTAGGAAAGAGAGAAACAGAGAGAGAGAATGCACATACACACATTCATGAAATATTTTAATACTATTAATAATTCCTGAAAAACATTCCAGAATGATTAAGGTGTTGATTACGTTAGGCTCTAAATTAATGAAAGTAATAAATGAAATTATTACATAAAGTTTCCTGTTGTCATTCTTGGCCTCCATATAACAAACCAGTCCTAGTTTTCCTTGTAGCTAAACAGCATATTTATTTTTCAGAAAAGAGAAGAATATTGAAAGGACAAGTCAATTACGATTTCTTCTAAGAAATCTAAATTCTTTCTTTAGCCATAGCCAGTCCAAAAGAAGACACTTTGTATAACTGACTCTTGGAAACTCTTGGAAACTTCTCTAGTCTCTTCTTGGGTTCCAGATGGCTTTGGCCAGTTTGGAATCTAAAAGAAAAATTTTTTCCTCCAAAGATAAGGCATAAAAGTATTCTCATTTAGGGGATGTAGTACCTCACAGTGGAAAGATGCCTATGACTACCTGTATGAACTTGGGCTACATACTTAACCCTTACTTGTTTTTCCTCCATGTCAAGCAGAGATAATCTTTCTTGTCCATGTCTGCATGATTTATGTGAAAAGCAACTTAGTTCATTTTAATATTTCTTAAAAGCCAGGTGCCCCCAAGTGTATTAATGCTGGGTGATAAAGGGATTTAAAGATGGATACTATAGTCCTGCCCTCAAGGGGTTTATAAGCTAAGAGGGGTTAAAATAAACTGGAATGAGTAAATTAATGAATAAAAATGTCTGGTTATTAGGTAGAAGGATTCAGGAAACGGTTATAATGGATAAAATCTAAATCATTATTCAAATGTAAAGGGAGGTAGACATAGCTAGGGATGTGAATCTTAATATAATTTTCATTGTTCTAGTAGTAAATATAATGGCTCTCTAGTGAAAGTGTTCTCTCAGATGTCATCTGGAGGCTCATAATTCCCAGATCCAAAATCAGTCCTTGTCCAGCACAGCCCTCGTTTTCTGGGACTCTCTCCCCTTTTGGCTTCCTTGCACTGCCTTTTCCTGGCTTGCCTCTCACCACAGCCCCCTCTTTAATTCCCCTTCTTCAATTCCCCTTCTTCCACACTATTTCCAAAAAGCTATGCCATCCAAGGTGGAACAGATTCAGGGAGATTCAAGTTTGCAAGGTAAGAGGTATATAGGGATCTGGGCTAAGTTAAATGTGCTTTTAGACACAAAACTGAGTAGGACCTAAGTTCATTGCATTTAATTGAGGACAGATGTAGCTGAGTCATTCCAGACAGATTATTAGTATGTGTCATTTCATGATATTTTTATCAACCACCTATTGTTCATCTGTTGAATTCAAAGCCAAATGTTAGCCATTGACTGTGCTTATATAAACATGAAAGACACCAATCCTTGCCCTTGGGGAGTTGTAATTTAGTTAAGAATATAGATATGGCAATAGTTAATTATAAAATAAAATGGAATTAAATAAGAGATGGATACGTGCACTAGAAGATTAGAAGCAGAATTAATTCTGCCTAGAGGGTTAGAAGCCTGCAGGAAAGAAGAAGCATCTCAATTGGCCTTGAAGTGTGCTGGTTAGATGGGATTTTCGTGGTTGGGATGGGATTTTCGTGGTTGGGTCCTGAGGGTCTTCTAGGCTGGGAAAACAGCAAGCAAAACCAATGGGGGGAGCATTTGACTCTCTGGCTGGGGAGCTTCCAAGAGAGTTACAGCCTACAGGTATGGTTTTGGTAAGCTCGGCATGCAAGTGGAGACTTGATCCTCTGGGAGTAGATTACACTGTCCAGAGGAAGCACAGCAGAAGTGAAGCTATGAAGTGTTATATGATTTACTCAGATCGGTAAATTCTTTGACCCTATGTGTTTACAGATATAAATGAGTGTGAGACCACAAATGAATGTCGGGAAGATGAAATGTGTTGGAATTATCATGGCGGCTTCCGTTGTTACCCACGAAATCCTTGTCAAGATCCCTATGTCTTAACATCAGAGAAGTAAGAAAAAAATCAGAGCTTTTGAAAGTGAGAACTTTCTGGTCTTACCACCATAAACTGGGAAATACTTTTGTTTTTCTCTGCAGCCGATGTGTTTGCCCAGTCTCAAGTGCGGTGTGCCGAGAACTTCCCCAGTCTATAGTCTACAAGTACATGAGCATCCGATCTGATAGGTCTGTGCCATCAGACATCTTCCAGATACAGGCCACAACCATTTATGCCAATACTATCAATACTTTTCGGATTAAATCTGGAAATGAAAATGGAGAGTTCTACCTAAGAGTGAGTAGTACCCTGTGGGCAGCTGTAGCTGTTGGGACAGGCGCAAGTTTGCTGTGGTTTGGCAGTATTCACTTAGAAGGAAAGCTAACATTTAAGGAGTTTTTATGTGCAAGCATTGTGTAAGTCTTCCTGAGTGCATTATCTCATTTAATCTTCTTGGTAGCATTGTCAGAAAGATACTACTATTTCATCTCCATTTATACGGAACAGTGAGACTCAGATTTAGTAGCTTCTCTAAAGTCACTCAGATACCAAGTTGAAGACTAATGGAGTTGTGTGTGACCAGCAAAACAAAAGCTTACACACACTCCAAATAGATACCACAAATCAGTGCTGGTTACTTGATTGTACGTAGAAAAAATAATTCCTGGAGAGCTTTTCAAGAACCATAAATTCCTTGTTGGTACATCTGCAAGATCATTTACATTCACACCAAAACTGAAACCTGGAAGTCCCTAAAGGGCCCCCATCTATTTGGACCAAAAGGGCCAGTAGTTGTACCATTCTTGCAAACTTCCAGGCAGACAGTATGAGGTCATCTTTGTGCTTTCCATTTCTTTCATTGCCGATATGAAATCTTTCTCTGAATTCTGCTATTTCTTTCTTCATGGTTTCTCCTTTCTTCATGGTAGTCTTTGCTTCCCCGTGCCCCTGCTTCTCTTCCTTTAAACTGGCTCTTAGTAGCCCCTCATCCCCCCAAGGGCTTCCAAGCAGATCTCCCTAACTTTGGTGCCTCAGCCTTCCAGGCAAAATCTCAGCAAGTTCATTTTAGGTGAAAATTTTGACATATTTTAAATAAGGCTCACCACTTCATGTGCAAATGATGGCACCCCACCAAGCAGTTTGCAGGGTTCCGGTAACTGTTTCACGCTAAGGATGTTATTCATCCAGTTACAATTTTCTCAAAACTCCTTTGGGCACTCTCCATTTTTAATCAGATTTTAAAGTCAATATTTCATTTTAAGAACATGAAAAGTAAATTGGGAAATTCATCCTTGTGGTAAAGTTTACAGATTTTTAATGTTTACATGTTTATCCCATTCTTTGATATATTAAGTTCCCTTCCAACTCCAGAATTTTGTGATTCTGTTTCTTTGCCAATAAATTAGAAATGATTAATTTCTCATGACCGACTTCTGAAGAGAGAAATCCAACCCAAAATCTATTATTGTTCTTTTTTTCTAATAGCTAAGAATAAACTTCTCTAACATTAGATGCTTCAAATTTGAGATATACTAGATATTTGTAAGAAGTTTACTCTAAATGCATTTCACACAGTTCAGATAATACCAATTTAATAATTCTAGCCCAAATAAATAACATTTGTAACCCATGGCAATAAAATAGGTTCATCTCAAAATCTTTCTTAAAAATAGTTTTCCACTTTGATCTTTTAGCTATAATTTAAGAAAATAAAATTTCTAACATAATCAAGAGTTAAGCAAAGTTCCAGCATGTTATTTTCCTTGCAATAAACATAGCACTTTAAAAGTTTTATGATTCATATCAGTACATTTATTGACTTGATATTTTCAAATATAAATTCTCAGTGTTTTTCTCAAGTAAAATCTCTTTTCCATGAATGATATAAAACATTAGCAATTTTTATAATCCCAGAGTTGATTATTAAATTATTTGAAACAAAAACTATTTGAAATAAAAAGTCATTTTTTTAAAGATTTTATTTATTTATTCAAGAGAGAAATAGTGAGAGAGAAAGAGAGAGAGAGAGAGAGCACAGCAGGGGAGAAGGAGAAGCAGAGAGCCTGATGTGGGGCTGAATCTTAGGACCTTGGGATCATGACCTGAGGTGAAGGCAGTTGCTTAAGCAACTGAGCCACCCAGTGCCCAATAAAAAGTCATTTTAAGATTACTTCTTATCATATAATTCAAGAAGTAATTAGGTTGAATCCTACAAAATTTCTCTACTGAAAAATCCATTTTTGTAGAGGACATTTGATGCATAAGAATCAGTCATCAGACCTTAATATTGCACCTACTGTATGCTCAGCCCCATACCAGGTGCATGTAATACATACTTCCTTATTTTAAAGGCTTGAAATATTACATGTGGCAAAAGTTAACATCTAGGAAGGGAAAAGAGAAGCAATTTTATATTCGATTCCATGATCCAAGACATCAAAGAATTAATGTTGACTGGAACAGTTAAAGAAGTGTCTTGGGCACCTGGGTGGCTCAGTGGTTGAGCATCTGCCTTTGGCTCAGGTTGTGATCCCGAGATCCTACGATTGAGTTCTACACCAGGCTCCCCAGGGGAGCCCCTCTATGTCTCTCTCTCTCTCTCTCTCTCTCTCTCTCTCTCTCTCTCTCTACGTCTCTCATGAATAAATAAATAAAATCTAATGTTTCTTGATGGTCATGATACTGGACCTGATCTTTGAAGGATCTGTAGAATACAGGATTTTATTTATATTCCTTTTGGGAGAGTACTGAGAAAACTTTCATCCTTAGAAAAGAGGACATATTATAATAGAAGTAGTACATAAAATTATAGGTAGAATACCATCCTCCCCACCCATGCCACCCAATACCTATACTTTATTGAGGCTATTTTCTTAATAGCCCTTATCACCACTTTGCATAGTATTCATTTGTCTATATGTGTGGTCTACAGTGCAGATGTAATGAAAGCAGACTTTACCTGTCTGTCCACTCTTCTATGCTCAGCAAAAGGAATATACCTGGCACCTAGCAGATGCTCAAAAAAGATTTGTAAATGAATGAATGAATTCAACTAATGCCTTCAAGGTATTACTATTACCTTCAAGGGACAAGCACCATGCTGGGTCCTGGAGACACAGCAGTGAATAAAACCAAGCCAATTCCTGCCCCAGTGGAGCTCATGGTCAAGGCACTAAGCAAGTGCTCACAAGTATGCTGAATATTACAATAGAGAGTTGCAAGTGCTCATGAGTGCCTACCAAGTCAACCACTAAGAAGATAGGAGTGATCTAGAAACCTCTGAAAGAAGTGAACTTAAGCTGAAGACTAACAATTAAAGACCAGCAAATAGAAGGAATAAAAGCAGTCCAGTTGGTCTGAAACTTCAAGTGCTGCCAGTGAAGTGGCTTGAGAGGAACCTAGAGAGATGAGCAGGGCCAAGATCACAGAATGCCTTACAGAGATATTAAGGTTTCAGGTAGAGGAATTGCTATTAGATTTTCATGTTAAAATGAAAATGCCTGGTATACTGCAGAGCCTGAATGAGAGTGGGACAGGAATGGAAATGAAAAGACCAGTTAGTAGTTCAAGAGAATGGGGTATTACACTAGTAGCAGTGAGTCCAAAAACAGCAGACAAATTTATGAAGATACAGGAAGAACTACATGACTTGGTGAGTTATTTGCTATGGGGAAATGGAGGACGAGGAGGCACCAAAGATAAGTGTCTGTCTTGAGCAACAGTAAATGGTGGTGGTGCCATTTATTAATATGGGGAAGATAGAGCCAGTGTAGAGAGGAAGTTCAGTTTGGAGATCTTTTCAATTTGGACCCTTCTTTTTCAGTAGGGTCTCTTCTGAAACCACTGAAGCCAACAGACATGAATTACCTGAACTTCCCACTCACCCCCTACAAATTTAAGTTCATGTATCCTCCTTCTTACCTTCTCCCTTGAGTTTTTCCAAAGATGAGGTTTTACTTCTGTCAATCAAAGCTAATCTACCACCTATATCCTTCCATCCATCTCCTCTAGAACCTTGTTCCATCAAACTTGTATCTGCCTCTTAGGTATTCAACTTGCCTCCCTCTAGATGTTGCTCTCTCTCTCTTCTCCCAACCCAAGGTTCTTAAAGCACAGCCTATAAACACAATCTCTGCTTTCTCACTTCCTAGTCACCCTTCTATCTTCTGTTCCCATTACCCTACTGGAGTTGCTCTGAAAAGGCAATGACATCTATACTGCTAAATCCAGAGGGCATTTTTCATTTCCAGTCTCTCTCAGCCTCACTATGCCATTGGATACTGCTGGCCATTCTCCTGTTTCCCAATTAATCATCTGTTTCTTCTCATCTTCCCTCAATGGCTTCTCCTCTGCCCACTCCTTAGATGTTAGGCTCTCCCAAATCCAGTCTTATCACATATACATTCTCTCCCTTGGTTTAATGTCCACCCACTGAAGTGATTGCTAAATCCTAATCCACTGTCTCTACCCCCTGCTTTCCTCTGGCATTCAGATTCACACATCTACTAACCTGCCCCTCCAACTCATTTTCCTCTACTCTCCAGCACCCATAACATTCTTCATCAAAATGAAACTACATCCAGTTCTGAACATACTTCTTTACAAAACTCCCAATTATCTTTGGTGACTCTCCTCAGAAATTCAAAAGCCTCCCCTCAATGCTTCAAGGTCCCTCTTCTTTTTCCCCATATTTTTCACCTTTATGTATCTTTGTACATACACTACATAACCTCATGTATCTTAGCATTTGCTGTGTTCCATTGAAATTAACTATTCAGGGATCCCTGGGTGGCGCAGCGGTTTGGCGCCTGCCTTTGGCTCAGGGCGCGATCCTGGAGACCCAGGATCGAATCCCATATCGGGCTCCCGGTGCATGGAGCCTGCTTCTCCCTCTGCCTATGTCTCTGCCTCTCTCTCTCTCTCTCTCTCTCTCTCTCTCTCTCTGTGACTATCATAAATAAATAAATTAAAAAAAAAAGAAATTAACTATTCACATTGTCTCTTCATGTACTAGAATGTAAGCAAATGCATAATGCTAAGAAGAAGTGAAAGATGATAACTTTGTTTACCAGTTCAAAAATTATCAAATTCTCACCTGAACTACAGTCTCTGTAAAGGCTGGTACTACTCAGTAAAAGTGAAGAGAAACATTAACAGAGAGGGATGAACCAAAAACACAGAACTATCAAAAAAGCAGATCTCTGTAACTTGGAACTAATGACTATGTGTGCACAAAGGGAAAAGAACCAAGAAAGGTTGAAACCAAGAAGGAATTAAGTAGTGACTTTTATCCTACCCTCAAAATTCTTCCCCTAATTCTTATAAGACTAGGTATACTCACAAATAATAGAAACTCCAATTCAAGGAAAATTATTCTCTCCCTCCCTCTTTTTTCTTTTATTTTAGCAAACAAGTCCTGTAAGTGCAATGCTTGTGCTTGTGAAATCGCTATCAGGACCAAGAGAATATATCGTGGACCTGGAGATGCTAACAGTCAACAGTATAGGAACCTTCCGCACAAGTTCAGTGTTAAGATTGACAATAATAGTGGGGCCATTTTCATTTTAGTCTTTTAAAAGAGTCCACTATAGGCATTTAAATCAGCCAAAGAATATTGTTACCATAAAGCACTATTTTATTTATAGACGTATCTAGTACATCTACATCTATATGCTGTACACTCACCAATAATTCAAACAGTTACACCATGGTATAAAGTGGGCATTTAATCTGTAAAGATTCAAAGTTTGTCTTTATTACTGTATGTAAATTAGACATTAATCCACTAAACTGGTTTTCTTCAAGAGAGCTAAGCATACTCTATCCAATGAAACTTGGATTCTTTTCTGTAAAAGTGGGACAAAGCAATGATTATCTTCTGTGTTGCTTAAGGAAACTTACTACAGCTCCACTGGCAGTCTTATAAGGAGGCAACCATCATAACATTGAACAGCATGCAAGTTCAAGAATGAATTTTTTAACTGCTTTGTAAGAAAATGGAAAAAGTCAATAAAGATATATTTCTTTAGAAAATGAGGATCTACCATATTTGTGTTGGTTTTATTTTCATAAGCAGTCTTAACACAGTTGTTTATTACTTAGTAATAAACAATTATTGTATAATATGCTGGTTTCTGTTGAATATTTTAAATTTTGTCTGAAATTTTTTATTATGAATGTAAACAAAAGAGTAAGCAAAATTCCCAAAGTGAATAAGGTATCCATAGAGTGATTCTTATATTGAGAAATCTACAGAGAGGAGATGAGAAAACAAATTCTTTTTAAACTATATTGGAGTTGACCTGAAGAAGCAAATTCAGTGTCTTCATCAGTTCAAGCTGCTATAATAAAGTACCATAGACAAGGTGGCTTATAAGCAACAGAAATTTATATCTTACAGCTTAGAGGCTGGAAGTCTTAGATCAAAGTGCTAGCATGGTCACATTCTGGTTGGTGAGAGCTGTCCTCTGGGTTGCAGACTCATATCTTCACATGGTAGAGAGAGAGTGAGAGAGCTCTCTTGGAGTCAGTCCCTTTTATAAGAGCACTATCTCATTCATGAGGACTCCATCCACATGATATAATTACCTCTCAAAGGCCTCAACTCCATAATGCTACCACATTGGAAGTCAGGATTTCAGCATATGAATTTGGGAAGGACACAGACATTCAGTCTATAACACTCAGTAAAGGTAAGAACATCACTGAATTCAGGTCTTCCTCAAGATGCAGAACAAAATGAAGAAAAGGTATTGTACTGAAAAAGCTTTAGTTACTGAATAAAATTAAAACTCTAAAACTTCACTTATAACTAAAATTTCTCATCTTAATTACTGATGCTCACAGAGGAAAAAAATGGGAACAGTTCTTATTCTTGGCATCCAGAGTGACTGTGAACTAAAGCAAATTGCCCTCCCTCTGAATTCAAAGAAAAGGTTTTAGGTCTTATTTGTTTAAACTGTAACTGCTTCACTTTGATGTGTTATATTTTTAAATAAAAATATTCTTTTAGAGGATCACTCTATCTTTGGAAGTTTTTTTAAGTGTAACCAATAACAGCCAATATAATTCTGTCTGGGAAAAAATTAGTTATAGCTGCCAGAGCAAGAATGACCATTTGATTTTTTTCTAATAGATAATCTAGGAGAAAAGGAAACAAAAAAACCTGCCAAAATCATGCCACAAAAAGGTGTGCAGCCAATTTTCTCTTACATCAAGTTTAAAAGCACATAGAAATAACCTCTGACACCCAGGCACCTTCGACCCTGAAACAAGTGTTTCTCAAAAAGTTGACTAAATGTTCAGCAATTGTCAAAAAGAAAGCTCAGAAGAAATCAAGAAACAAAACACAAACTTCTTGTGTGAACAGAGGATGGGCTTTTGTTAAAGGAGCATTGAAACATAATGAGGCAACAGATCTAATCAAGAACCACACAAGGAAGCAGAGATAACATCCAGCCACGACACAGCTGGACTGTTGAGTGCGTTCCTATCACTCTGTCCACATGAATACTTGTATGCAAGTATCAACACTATCTAGTCCCATACCCATTATAAACCCCATATCCATTAGCAGTAACTCCTCATACCCCAACCCACAAGCCCTTACAGGAGTTACCACTAATTTAGTTTCTGTATCTGGATTTTCCTATTCTGGACATTTCATATAAATAGAGTCATATGATAGGTACCCTTTTGTATCTGGCTTCTTTCACTTAGCATGATATTTTCAAGGTTCAGCCATGTAGTAGCATGGATCAGTACTTCACTTCCTTTTATGACTGAATAATATTTCATATTGTAAACATATCACACTTTATCCATTTGATGCTGGCAGGTGGAGTCCAAGGACCCAGAAGAGGTCCTGCAGAACCAGCCAAGAGGGTCTTTGGCTTTGCACAGGATGGAAATCAAACATGAGCCAGCAGGAAGTGAGAGCAGTTTACTGAAGATTCAGAGCAGATACACATGGAGTGTCTTGGAGACTTAGGAAAGGAGGGAGTCTGGTCTTTGCTTGGAGTTTGGTGGTTTTTATTAAGGATTGTGGTTTGGTGTATGTGTCCTCTCAGGCATCCAGGAACCAGTTAGAACAAAGACAAGGGCCAAGGTGTCATTCCTTGGAAGCAGGGGGTCTTGGTGTTGAGATATCTAGCTACAATGGTGGTCTCTAATATGCATATGATGGCTTCATTTGGTCATTCTCACGTGGTCCTTCTTTAGATGTTATCTAAAGAAATCATCAACTGCTATATACTATTTGCATTCAAGGCATATGTAAGTAGAGGTGTAGGTCCTAACAAGAATAAAAGCAGGAAAAGGGACAAAAAGCAAATTTTTATGGAGTCCTTCAGTTTCCCTGTCCCACATTCATGCATTGAGAGACATAATTTGATATGTTTCCACCTGTAATTCCATTTTGGCTTACCCATCAAAAAGGACATTGATTCAATTCATCCACTAAAAATGAGCCTAAATCACTCAGTTTTAGTTTCATTTTTAACTAAAAAAAAATAGCAAGTGATAAAAATTTTTTTTTCATTCACAGAAGCAAAATCCTGGAAAGAACTTTGGAAAGCTTACACATGAGTTCCCTTACAGGTACAACCATCCTCAGTAAACATAAAAATCTCCTGTTCTCTTTTTAATGTAATTTGAAATTCAAAATAAAGTAAACATCTTCACTAAAAACAAACCAAAGCAGTAAGACAAAGACCTGCTTTATTTCCGAACTACACATGACTCCCTCCTCCCCTCCTCTATGAGAATCACTGATTTAAACCAGCTCCCAAAGATGGGAATTACAAGACAAATTCATCTTCAGAGTCATTTTTATTCAGCAGCAAACATTTATTGAGTAACTTCTATGGTAATCCTTTCCAGCACTTAAGAGTTTAATGTAGAATAAATGAACCATTTCTAACCTTAACCACTGTGAGACTTAGCTTTTGAGGCCCTTGGTTTCTTTATCCATAAAACTGAGATATTGAAATAAGGAGTTTTTCCAATTTTAATAACTGTAACTAACTAATCCCTAACCCTGGGCTACAGTGAGAGATAAGGTAGCTCAATTTGCCAAATTTTTTTTTTAATTTTTATTTATTTATGATAGTCACAGAGAGAGAGGCAGAGACATAGGCAGAGGGAGAAGCAGGCTCCATGCACCGGGAGCCCGATGTGGGATTCGATCCCGGGTCTCCAGGATCGCGCCCCGGGCCAAAGGCAGGCGCCAAACCGCTGCGCCACCCAGGGATCCCAATTTGCCAAATTTTTTAAAGCATCTGAGCATTCCTTTTATGCAGTGGCTATTGGGAAGCATTGGACATTGGTAGAAGAGAAAACTCATACTGCTTTCACTAAAATAGTTCTTCACACTGTGGGTTCATTATCGGGGGCAAGGATCAATTTAGCTATACATTTTTAAATTACAATTCAAAATAATTTTTTCTGCTATTCAGTCTGTTAAATTGTGCATGTTTTTGCTCCTTTTCATTGTACTGAAATATAAATACTTATGTTAAATTAAAAGTCATTTTGCCTTTTTTCACCAGTGAAAAAAGTGCAGCCATGGGTTCCCATACTTCCAAACATGCTTCCAGGGAAATAAGTACATTCTTAGTAAGTTTCAGTAATGAGGCCACAACTAGTCATTTCCATCACTTCATCGTTCTTTTACCATACCTGCCCTTGGAGAAGTCCATGCTCTCTAACTGGACAATCACATTCTGACAGTGATTATGAAAGGCCTCTTGGTTGTTAAGACAGCCCCAAAAAAGAATAAGTTCCCTTCAACTGCCAAATTTCCCTCTTAACTAGTTTCTTTAACAACTTGCAATCTCTACCCCCTCTAAACATAAAATTTCTTATTATGTGCACTTATTAATAATAATAATAATAACAGGATTCTAAGTTTAGACACCACCTAGTCAGGGCATCTTATTTTTAAGACTTGCTCAAAGTCACAGTTTGTTGAGCAACAGTGCTGTGCCTAGAATACAGGTCTTCTGACTTAGATTAAGCTCTTTTCGTTGGCCATACTCCGAATTTCAACACCAACAAGCAAATCCTTTCTTTCCTGCAAATAGTCCACCCTAGATTGTAAACCAGCTTTGCTGATTGCCATGACCAGTTGTCACCACTGCTGCTAGATGCAATTGTGTTGAAATAACACAGATACCAACCTGATTCTGATTTATTTTCTTAAACTTTAGCTGATTGTTCTCTTTAAAAACTCCAGAGAGGCAAAAGTCATCATGTTACACAAAATGCTCCTAAACTCTAGAAATTCAGAATCAAGAACCAATCATGTGAGCCTTACTATACTGGAGAGGACAGCAATTCCCAAAAGATAAAGTCTATTACTTACGATCCAGATGTAGCTGTCTGCGTGGGGGAATTTTGAGAACAACCATGGTGAAGAGGGATCGAAGCTAACACTCTCCTGGTTCAGAAGCTGGGCCAAAAAGCTTACAGAGTCCTTCCTTCCATAGGATTAGTGTAAAGTAAGGAGCTAATGTAAAGATTACTGCCATTCCTTGACATATTCATTAGGTGATTTTTTGAAGGAACAAACAACATCATCACCTGGAATAAGATAAAATGCCTCGTTTTATTAACAACTCGGGCCTCAGTGGGGCTTTCAGTTCTTTCACAGTATGTTTAAGTAAAAAATGGTAGAAAGTAGGGTTTTTGAATTGTAATTTTAAAATATAGATATTGAAGGGTAGAAATCAGCTGGAAACCAATCCCCACATCTAATAAATATAGTCATCTCTACCACTTTGCCTCTACAAGGGAGATGTTTTAGTGAATCCAAATAATGGAAATAGAAAGATTGTTCAGTATCCTAAGACCACCTGAAAACAGCCCAGTGGGATTATTATTTTTGGGGAAGCTTCACAAATAGAAGTTTATTGTTGAATCCTGTTTCCATGACTCCAAGCAGTTGCTTATGTTTTGAATAGCCATGTACGCTTCTAACTTTCTAACTCTTCTTTTAAAATACAGAACAGCTGCTGGTCTGCTCATATGGTATGCAT